TGTTTGATATATTTATTCTAATTTGCTGTAGGAGATATTCTGTTAATTCCGTGGCCCCTTCATGCTGCCTTAAAAACGCTTTATCAAAGGATGTTATGATAAATGTGGCTTCCTAGTGTGCAAGTAAACTAATGACCTCACATTCTCAGTAGGAGGGACTTCCCAAGGTCAGACTAAACAAACAGAAGGATGCTGGTTTCATTCTGAGTCCGTTTATTCAATCCATCACGCTGGGACATCGCGTTGGACTACAAGAGTGAACAAACAACACAGCACATTTGACACGGCCTCTGAAAATAGTAAAAAGCACAGCACAGATTTCACACAGACACAATGGGGAAAACAAACAGGATGAGGCCCCTTCAGCATGTTGTGAGGAACATCAGTATGTAGCCTTAAACATCAAGGCGTCCCATGGATTATCAGCCCACAGCAACGTTTACAATGTGCAGTTAAAACAGTCCAATTTTGACTTTGTCTTCTTTGCAGCCATTCAGGACACCATTCTCCAGCAGCTTCATAAAGTCCAGCTTGACCTGGAATAGACATGTACATATGATTTGTAACACAGAGATGTATAGTTGCTAGAAGATTTAAAAAAAAAAAAAAGAAGCTCTGCTTTGAACAACGATCTGTGTCCTATACGCTTTTCAAGTTCAATAATCTTAAATCTGCCGCTCCTCCCTCACTGAGTATGGAATTATCTGGAAGTATCAGTGAATATGCAAATGAAGTTCATTCTGCACAGTGAAGCTCAAACATCCAAGTAATGGATGGAGGTAGGATTTAAATATCCTCAACTACTTGATAAAATCATGATGATTATAATGATCCTCTCAGCCCAGCAGGGGGCAGTAGCTCACCTCAGGAATGTCCACCATCCTCCGGAGCTTCTGGTCCCTCCAGTTCCAGTCCAGAACCATGTATCGCAACGCCTTCAAGTTCAAACCCTCTGGAGAAAAATAACCAAAAAAAAAAAAAAAGACATTTCACAGAATAAGAAGACCTCAACCACGCTGCAGTTTAACAGTAGCAATATCAGGCCCACACGTACCTTTCTCAATGAGCGCATTGATCCTGCCAGGTGTCCCTACTCCAATGTGGATGACGCCCTTTTGGAGCAGCTTCACCTGCTCCTCTATCTGCACAGACAGAATATACACAAAGAAAGCTGTTGAGGAAACTATTGTGCACATACCTTATGTATTGTAACGAACCGTCATCTCTAGTACCTTGATATGTTTCGCAAAAAGCTTTATGGCTTTGGCTCCACCCTTAAAGGCTGTCAGCTGCCTGAGAATGAAACAAACAGCACGCATGTAAATATAATTCAAGAGTTGTAACGTAGGAAATTCAACAAAGGCCAGTGGTGTGTCGCTCACTTGATGAGCTCAATGGTTCGGAGAGCGGAGCTACAGACGATGAGCAGGACCACGGAACTCATTTCTGTATGCTGCTTCTGAATCTTGGCCCACTTGGGACAAACTAGGAACAACAGGAAAAAGAGGGAATCAGAGTGTGTTCAAAAGTGAACAGCTAATGGAAGATTTTAGTTGAGATCGCCACTCACCCTGTTTCAGGTACGAGGAGAGGGTGTGTGTTAAGTCATTACTGGACAGGAAGCAGGAGTCTGGAAGATGGGGAGGGGCAGAAGGTGACCTTGGTGAATCCACACATCAGCAGAAATGACTGAAGTTCAGAGGTAAAGGGGGCGTTGCCCTCACTCACCCAGCAATTGGAGCTCCTCCTGCTCGATCACAGAGCGCTTGTCTGAAAAGTACTGCGTGACCAGGTTCTGCAGGTCTGCCGAACAGCCTGGTTTGGGCTCCGAAGAGGACAACACATCTGTAATGGTCTTCTTCTTCTGGCAGACAAAATACAGTGATGTAAAGTAATGTTCACAGACGAAGCCCCAGTGACTGTTGTCTCTTTGCAACAGCAGGTGTCACCACACTCACCTTCCTCTTCTTCTTGGGTTTAGTTGACTTTTCATCCTCAGTCTCTTTCTTCTGAGGAATAATACACTCTTTCTGTGAAAACAATACATGTAATTCAGACAAAGTACTTATATATGAGATATATTAACCAGTGGTTTAAATTCATTTTATATTATGAATCTAAATTCATCATCTGTAATAATTCTCAGGGGTAAAAGAGTCCTATCAGTAATAAGAAGTTACAATCTTTGTAAGATGTAATTTATTATACTACAGTCAGTGATTAATTTCACTATTAATCATGTTGAACATCTTTTTCTAATTTCCGGGAGCATGCGGTGACGTATATAAATGCCTTGTTTTGTCCAACCAACAGTGCAAACATTGAAGATATTCAATTTACAAATGTAAAGCAAGTCTTCACAATGGAGAGGCTGGAATCAGAGAATGTTTGACATTTCTGCTTCACAATGATGTTTCATTTGTTATCATAAGGATTGGCTATTTATTTTTTTTGTCATCCAGTCCAATACATCACATTGGTTTATTACACACCGATTAATTTTACTCCTTCTCTACTTGACACACAGCTTTACAGGTAGTGAAATTAATTTGATACATTTCCTGATAACAGAAGAAGATCCTGGAAATTTCAACGGAGTTGGTTTGGAGAAAACATTTTTCTGTGTGTACCGTAAAATACCTGATCGTTCTTTTTCTTCTTCTTGGCCTTAAGTGTGTTCTCCGTTACCCTCTTCCTCTTCTCTGGTTGTGTCTGTGTGCTTGGTTTTTCTGTTGGCTGCTTCTCTTGCGTCTCCTCTGCCTCAGATGCATCTGAGAAAAATAGGGGAACATTGCCCTCATTACAATTCTGAATATATAGGTTCATTTATAACTGGGAGTAATGCAAGATAAAGAAACTATTAAGATGAGTCAACACAGAGCTACAAACACACCAGGTTAGCCTGAATAAGGTTTTGCCAATAACCGATATGCCTAACCGCCATGAGGAGATACTCCCCGTGGGTAGAAGCTTATGAATCCGTTTTTCCACAGTTTCGGAGTGTTTAGGTTGCTCCTCAGGTGTGAGAGTCCCGGCAGCACATTTCAGTCACTACAGAAAAGCAGAAATACACAACTCTCCCCTGAGATAACAACAATGCAGCAGACCTCAAGCCAAGCATCTGGTTATATTTAGCCTCTCTGTTGCTACCACTTCTCTGTGCATACCTCTCTTCTCAGGCTATGAGGTCATGCTTAGACCCTCTGGCATACTTACATGCTTGTTCAAAATACTTTAACTTCAAAAACAGATGCCAGAGTGAACTTGGCAATAAATGTGTGGGTTTCATTGTAGCGTCCTTCCTGATGTTTTTACCAACACTTTTGCAGTTCTCCCTGTAGACCTTTAATATCGAAGGACAGACAGGTTGACATCGCCTCTATTTCTTATTGAGCGGCCGAAGATGAAATGTGTCATGTAACTGTAAGAGCCGAAGTTTGAGATGAAGTTGAGGAAGTTTGAAATCTGCTCATGTGTAGCTGTATGNNGGGGGGGGGGGGGTTTCAAGCATGTTGTACTTCTTACCAGTAGCATCAAAACAAGTATTATAGCATTAACCACTAATGCAAAACACCTGCTGACTGATTTAAGGAGGATGATTTAAAAGTAAGCTCAACAATATAGAGACATAAGATGTAGCACAAACAACATTAAAAGATCATTTCATCAAATGGGAAAAATCTGAATACATATATCATGTTAACTTGTAATAGAGCGAGAGATCCCATTAACGGTCAGTCCAGAAGAACCTCATAACAGCACTGACAAATCAGTACGGATATTACGTTAACAAGAAGCTTTTGAGATCAAATTTGGCTTTGAGACCAAAGGTGTTTTCAACTGGTAGATCTAGTATGATACCTTAATACCTTGACCTCTTCTTGGGAGATAAACCTTTGAATTGCACCGATGAAACAGGAAGATTATTTTCCAAGGCTGGCTGCGGGCTGAGAGGAAATTCATACCTCTACATGTAATATTACCACGATGCTGCGAGATGGTACACATCTTGTAATACAACATTTTGTGGATTGCTCTTTGGGATGTAGTATGTCCTAACAGTGTCTGTTGGTTATTTCAGAAAGAACGCTTTTTAAACTAAAATGACTATTATGCACATCTGTCCCCTTGGTTGAAAGAGAATGTACAGACAGCAGAACACGACGAGACACGTTGCAAAACGTTTCTGCAGAAGCCACCGACTGCTGGTAAGTTAGCGAAACCCCCGAATATTAACAGGCTGGAAGCAGATGATTTATTAATGATCAGTTTCGTTTAAGAAGGAGCCAGCACACAGTTTGTTTGCTGCTCTGCGTTGCTTACTTTTTAACGAACGCCTCCAAAATATCATTAACGCTGCCATAAGAAGCTACATCAGAGCTGTTTAAAGGTTGTGTGGATACAAGCCCTAACAGAAGGGGTAACCATGCGTGAACACTCCTGGGAGTCGAATAGCGGGAGGTTTCCCTATTCTGTCCCATCCTGCTGGACGCCGTGGTGCATGCAGCATTCATTTTGTGTGTGTAGTATAGTCAAGCAACACTTCAAAACAAATGATCCTATACACAGTGATGAACAACACTGAACATATGTCTGACCTGCCACATTGCGGCTAACAGGCCAAGGAGCGCTCCCAAATAGACAACCACGACCCACCTGACACCCAATTTCCTGCCTCGTCCTCGTCCTAATTTCCCATCCCACGATCCGATTCATCCAGTTTTCATTATCACGCCCTCCTCCCATTGTTGGGTTTTTTTTTCCTTCCTCAGGGACGTTATAGTGGAGGTTCATATCAAAAGACAATATAAAGGATGGATGAGAGACCTCAGTCTGCTCTTGCGCTCTAATTTCCCCTCGCAGGTCCTTTTCTGTTCATAATTCCATAACCACACCCCTTCTCCACTTCATCCCTCGCTCAAAGACCTTCATCCTTATTTGTTACAGTCGTCTGTCCAGGCATACAGTCCGCCTGCTGGAAGACCACCCCCATTATTGATGGGCAAACCAGTCCTCTCTCTCTCTCTCTCTGTACTCACTGCTTTCTCACTCTGGGCTGTTGAAAGGAAAGTGAGGACACACAGGTATCAAACATTAGGGAACAGAGGGCAAGGGGAAGAAGGAAGACTAATTACCAAGGTGAGGAGGACGGGCCTGTGTATGACCAGTGAGCGGTCCAGGTCCACCTGTCCTGCAGCAGGTAAGTGGTTTTTTTCTCAGCTAGTGCTGGTATTTACCAGTAGGATCTGACTTCTGTTTACTTTACTCATGTTGACCAAAGAGGAGTGCTTTGTAATAACATGGTACTGATCAACTGTCCTAAAGGTACAAAGCTCTTCATAGATAAAGCTTTGAGTGTGAAGGGGATAAAGAGATTGTATTGTAAAAAAAAGGTGTGGTAAAAAAAAAAAAACCTTTTGTAATTACTTCTGCACCACCTACAGGCACAATCTATATGCTTGAGTTGAGAACACACAATGCAGTCACCTGACATTGCTGCTTTGTGCTCAATGAGCTGTGAAATACTCTACAATACAATAAGCCTGTGGGTTCAGAAGTTAACGAAACCCTCAGATAAGTAGAAGCCGCTGACGTGGGCAGCCACACCGATGTTAAAGCTTAACCACATTGCTAATCTCACCAATGGACGCAGAGACAAGCCTAACACACTGGTCAAGGAGCCATTCAACAACACTCTATAGGTGACTAGTAGCTGATTCAGCATGTATTTGATTGGGTGTTGTGTAGGGGAACGGGCGATCTGGAGGATTCATCAACTACATGGTGCTTCTACTCACTCAGTACAACGGAAATAACTCACATATTTTTCTATTTGTGTCAACAATGTACGATCACAGAGGTTGTAAGGTGTCAAGAGGGCTGATGGTTTTTTTCCTCTTGTGGACAGTACTGCAATGACATGACATGACTGTGGAGAAGACTCTATGAATAGTCGCCTGTTAAAGGGTTACAAAGAACAATGTATTCAGTTGCCAGTTTATTAAATACTGCTATGTAAAACTAATGCAGTGTAATGCAACAGCCATGGAATACATCTGCCTTCTTGAAGGTTATAACGCTCAGTTCAGTTCATCTGAGAGGTGTCTGTATTATTTAGTCTACTCTCACTAAGATAAATGGGTTTGGTATTAGAAATACCTCTCAGTGTGATGCAACATAATTTAAAAACACATGAACTACAGCCTCCAAAGTAAATATGAAGTTGAATGACCACCACTGCATTAGTGGAAAGTGTATGTCCAGTGGATAACCAGTAAAAGGGACATCGTTTCTAGAAAGAAATGCTGCTGATGTGAACTTTCTGTGTTGTGAGGAACATCTAAATTCCATTCACCCTTTATTGTAGTGGAGTGGAGGCAATAATCTCAGACACACACATCTCAAAACCTGTCTGAATGAAATCCAAACTGTTGGTTGCATGGCTAGATTTAACTAATGGTAACTGGAAATATGTTTTTTGTAATTTGGCTTATTTGGGTGAACCAACCATTCAAACAGACTGATATGCTAGGCTTTGTAGTAAGACTAATCCCAGAGAAGGTGAAAATAGTACAAAGGTTGGTGGTACAGCGCCTAAAGATTGCTCACTGGCACTGCTGTCATTAACAGTAAATGGTCCTATCATGAGCAAACTTAAAAATGTTTGAGACTTTGGTTCGGGGCAATAGACAGAAAATTACCTGCGGTTTTCTTCATCTTTGTAAATGCTGTCGAAACACAACATTTATTAGTGAAGCTCTAAAATTTACAGGGGCCCGGGGGCCTGACTTATGTAAAGTCATCCAATCTGCACATGCAATCTGTCTGTAATTAGTAGCTGACTTATTAAAAGGCTCAAAAAGATGCATGGTGATAGCAAGCAAACTGAGCTGAGGATGATGCGCCTACCTGATCAATAATAAGGGTTTGAGATGATTGGTTCTGGCTATCACTGCTGCAGTAAAACAACAAAACGTACATGACATAAAATGGGTGACAAAGAAAACAAAAATAAAAATGTCTTTGGAAAGTGTTGGGCCGCCAGAACAGCTTCAGTGCTCCTGGGTATGGATTATACAAGATCTGGACTCTATTGGAGGGATGAACACCGTTTTCCAAAAGGTATTTCTTTAATATTTTGATGACAGTGGTTAAAGGGGGCTGGTTAAATGGCTAATGGTATGGTACACACTCATATATTCTTTATTTTTCTCTTTTATTTGTCACTCCCCTTTAAAAGGACATGATAGCACTGGATTGTGCAGATTTTGTAATAGCTAAGTGAAAGGGAAGAAAATCTCTTATAATAATTTTGCATTCACAGATCGATGCCAAATGCAATACCTCAGGCAATGTAAAAATCAATACACTCCATTTAAATTGCAATATAAATTACTATCAGGGACTCTAGCAATTCTTACTCCCAGGGAGTAAAGAAAGGAAACAGATGAATAGCCAAGAATAAAAGGATAGTGAATGAATGGAGCTTGTGACCGAGCTGACAGAAGTCAGCTCAATGCATGCCAGATATAAAAAAAAACAGTAGAGAGAAAACCAAGCCAAGTTTTAAGTTTGCTCTCCTTGAAATGAGAAGCACCTGATTTAGCTGCCTACTTTTAGAAGATGCACAGAGAACCCTGTTTCAATAAGTCTCAAGTGTTGCCTGAGGACAGCAGACATTGACCTATGAGAAGGCCAATAGCTTCAGTGTCCCTTAAGTCTTACTCCCAATATCCTCCATGCCAGTGGCTCCAGATGTCTATAGGAGGGACAGAGTATGCTTCCACACAGAGGGCAATTAGCTTACAGCTCGGATAACCATAGATCAATGAAGGTCAGGCGCTACGGAAAAGGGCTCCGATGCAAGGAAATGGTGCAGCCCGGTCATCTTTGATCTGTGATCAATAGAGGTGACTGGTTTTAATGGATGGTCAATGGCACTTACTGGATGTAATGAGGATCAATCGACTGGTTCCAGGAAACAGCTGATTGTTACAGTTCCAGACAAGAAGCACTCAGCTTTGGTTATTCGTTTTTAAGGGTGATGTGATGCACTCACTTGTGTAAGCTGACACAGTGCCTACACAACAGCTTAAAACTGTTTCAGCTATGACCCACAGTGAAGTTGTTAATTACCACCAGTTTACTCTGTTAGTCCGATCAAACATAATACTTTGGCCTGTACAGAGGGATAAGACAAACCAATTACACCTTTAATCCTGCAACACAAACATGTTCCATTACACGGCGGCCAACACGACCCCCAAAGATACCGTATGGTATGTTTGTTATGTGCTACTAAAAACAATATGATACTTCCCATGAAACCAATTCAGCGCTTGTTTATACAATCAATAACTCATCTCACGACATCTACTACTGACTGATATTGGGAGTGGTGTGGGGGCGTGCGGGTGGGTGAGTGTAACAGTTATTGGTTTTGGAGGCCTGCAGCTTCCTCTCTTAAGCCACAATTTGAACATACGTTATTGTTAAATCAATGGAGACTCTAGGCTGCACGCACAAAATTAACAAGCAGGTTATAGTGCAGAACAGAATACCAGTCTGGTTACAAATTCATTGGCTTCCGACACTTTGTTCTTCAACCCATTTAGTCGTAACATTTTGACGGTGTATTTAATTACTACAAGTTGTTATGGCAACATACGGCAACAGTTCGGCATGTGGATGCAGTGGCCGGGTGTTTTAATCTGTTTTTTTATGGGCTTTATTGCTGAAACATTGGATTTGATTTTAAAGGGCTATGCCAAAATTGCTCAAATCGACAGGTTTAGGAGATTTTGACCATGTCAACATTGCATTCAGACGCTGCAGCTGATAGCTGTAGCTTCCAAGCACTTGACGGGCCGACCATGATCCGAGCTCACAGAGCGCTAGACGAGAGGACACGGAGGACGTGTTTAAATCGATGATGCTTGGTGCTCAAACACAAAGTTTTTCTTTTTGTGAAAAAAGAAATATTTTTGTTGCTGCTGTTTACATTCCAACAGACGCAAATTCAAAAGATGCACTGCAGAATTATTTGCTGGGTGTATACATGTATACAGAATAACAACGTAACATGTATGTACAGTATGCAACTGTATTGTTTTATTTTATGTCATTCTGATATACATTTGATTATCTCTCTCTGTCTGCAGCATGAAGGGACTACAGACTTTCATTTTGTTGTACAACCTTGTGTTGTGTAATGATAAATACATTTCTTTGATATTGTAATCAATTAATTTTCTTTGCCTTTCTGTGAGTGTGGGTGTTAATTGTTTCCCAAATGTGTGATTGAAATTCTAAAAAACAAATAATAATAATGGCTTGGCCAAGTGTGAACCTATCGTGACGCATTTTGGCTGCCTTGACAGTAAAACGGAGCCAGTGGACGTGACGTACTGTGAGTTGATCTGCTCTCGTTGGATGTGGAGTCTTGACTCGTCCGTAGCCGGAAGCAATTGCGTATTACAGTACATTATTACGTATTTGATCAGTGCTGCCTAGTTTAAAAGTTTGATCTGAGTTTGATGTGCTGCGCTGGACAGACTCATTGAGAATGACCTGTCAATCATAAGGTAGCCTCACCCAAAAGCATTCACGACTTTAACGTCTATTTTACTCCACCATAATTTACTAAATGAACATTATCATGTATAGAAGGAGATGTTAAAAGTCAATGGGCTTGGCTGATGAATAGCATGACTTGCTAAATATTGTCAGCCTTTATGATTTGGAGTGGCTACACACAAGTATCAGTGGCTGTCTTACACAGCTAAATTGAGAAACTGTTCAAGAGACAAAACTCCTGCAAAGCAGCCTGACCAGACTTACTTTACACTGAAGCACTGTGCTCATCTCTGGTGTCAACACATCTTTAACATCTCACTGGAGAAATGCAATGTTCAAGCCTTCTTTAAGATATCCACCATCACCCCCATCCCCCAAAAATCAAGAACCACAAGACCACAGACCTGTCACCCTGAC